CCAAAGTGTTGGGATAACAGGCATGACCCACCAAACCCTGCCCATTTATTTTTTATTATTTATTTTGAGATGGAGTCTCACTCTGTCACCCAGGCTGGAGTGCAATGGCGCTATCTTGGCTCACTGCAACCTCCGCCTCCCGGGTTCAAGCGATTCTCTTGCCTCAGCCTCCTGAGTAGCTGGGATTACAGGTGCCCACCACCACGCCTGGCTAACTTTTGTATTTTTAGTAGAGACAGGGGTTTCACCATGTTGGCCAGGCTGGTCTCAAACTCCTGACCTCAGGTGATCTGCCCGCCTCAGCCTCCCAAAGTGCCGAATTACAGGCGTGAGTCACCACACACCTGGCCCAAGAAAGATATATAAATGGCCAACAAGCACATGAAAAGAGGTACAACATCTTTAGTCAACAAGGAAATTCAAATTGAAACCACAATGAGATGCCACTTCACACCCACCAGCACGGCTATAATTTAAAAAACAGAAAATAACAAGTGTTGATGAGGATAAGTAGAAATTGGAACGTTCATACATTGCTGGTAGGAACGTAAAACGCACCCACTGTGGAAAAGTTTGGCAGCTTCAGCATGTTAAACACAGAATTACTGTGTGAGCCAGAAATTCTACACCAAGGAATATACCCAAAGGATTTGAAAACCAGGGTTCAAACAACAGCCGTACACAAAGGTTCATACGGTCACCATTCGCAGCAGCAAACAGTAGAACAACCCAAATGTCCGTTGCCTGACAAATGGACACACAAAACCTGGCACACATGTACAACTGAATATTATCCTCCCATAAAAAGGAATGGAGCACTGATACATGCCACAGCACAGAGGAATGTTAAAACATTATGCTAGGGCCGGGCGCGGTGGCTCACGCCTGTAATCCCGGCACTTTGGGAGGCCGAGACGGGCGGATCACGAGGTCAGGAGATCGAGACCATCCTTGTGAACATGGTGAAACCCCGTCTCTACTAAAAATACAAAAAATTGGCCGGGCGCGGTGGCTCAAGCCTGTAATCCCAGCACTTTGGGAGGCCGAGGCGGGCGGATCACGAGGTCAGGAGATCGAGACCATCCTGGCGAACACCGTGAAACCCGGTCTCTACTAAAAAATACAAAAAACTAGCCGGGCGAGGTGGCGGGCGCCTGTAGTCCCAGCTACTCAGGAGGCTGAGGCAGGAGAATGGCGTAAACCTGGGAGGCGGAGCTTGCAGTGAGCTGAGATCCGGCCACTGCACTCCAGCCTGGGCAACAGAGCGAGACTCCGTCTCCAAAAAAAAAATTTTTTTGCTAAATGAAGCCAGTTACAAAAGAGCATGTGTAACCTTACTCCATTCATATGAAATGTCCAGAATAGGCAAATCCACAGAGACAGAAAGCAGACGAGTGGTCGCTAGGGATAGAAGAACCCACGTGCCACTGCAGAATACCACAGACTGGGTGGCAGAAGGGGTTTTTCACAGTTGTGGAGGCTGGGAAATCCCAGAGTAATCCTCCAGCAGAGTCAGTGTCTGGTGAGGCCACTTCCTGGCTCACACAGGTGCCTTCTCCCTGTGTTCTTACAGAGCTCTGTGGGGCCTCTTTTATAAGGGCACTAATCTCATTCATGAGGCCCCACCCTCATGTCCTAATCACCTCCCAAAGTTCCCACCTCACATCATTCTAATACTATCACCCCGGGGGTTTCAAATACGAATTTGGGGGGAGGTGGACACAGTCAGATCATAGTGATAAATCCCTACCTAACAAGAAGAAATTTTATGTCTACTAGGTTCTTTCTTTCCTTTCTTTCTTTTCTCTTTGTCTTTCTTTGTCTTTCTCTCCTTCCTTCCTTCCTTCCTTCCTTCCTTCCTTCCTCTTTCTTCTCTTTCTCTCTCTCTCTTTTTTTGAGATGGAGTCTTGCTCTGTCACCCAGGCTGGAGTGCAGTGGCATGATCTTGGTTCACTGCAACATCTGCCTTCTGGGTTCAAGCAATTCTCCTGCCTCAGCCTCCCAAATAGCTGTGATTACAGGCATGTGCCACTACAACTGGCTAATTTTTGTATTTTTTGGTAAAGATGGGGTTTCCCCATGTTGTCCAGGCTGGTCTTGAACGCCTGACCTCAAGTGAATCTGCCTGCCTTGGCCTCCCAAAGTGCTGGGATTAGAGTTGTGAGCCACCACGCCTGGCCTCTACTAGGTTCTTAATAAGTGGTAGACCCAGTTACCACCAGGATACTTTTTGTCAGTATTTGAACAACACCAAACTGTTTCAGTATGTAAGCTGATAAGAAACCACGAATTATAGTCTAATAATCGAAGCATGTTTACTTACCGCCTCGGGGAGAAAGAGAATCGTGCCCCCCAATGATCACGTGGACACCAGAATCTTCCAGTTTCACTCTCCATTTTTCAATGATAGCCCCAGACTTGTCCTGAAAGCAGAACGCTGGCGGGTCAGGAAACTGCCCTCAGAAGAGTCAACCGTTGCTGACACTGGGGCTGAGTCACCCGATAGGAAGTTGATACAAACCTTACTGGCATCATTGAAAACAGACAGCTCCATCGTGCCTTCAAAGTCCTGCTGCAAAACAGACCTCAAACATTCATCCAGCCATGGTTCAGCATTGTGGACTGGGAGGATAATAGACTGGAATTTAAAAAAATGGATTAATAGAAGTGTGTAAACTTAGTTCCCTTTCCATGGCTCTAATTTACCTCCCCTTCACCATCCGCACATATGCCGTGACAAACAAAAGGTGTCCACCCCTTCTCTCCAGGCTCTTAACATGCTCATAAGATTTTTTATGCCTTAGCTTTCCCTGAACTGCCTTCCATATGCTTTTGAAAGGGGGAAAAAAAACTGAAAGGACTTTGGGAGGCCGAGGCGGGCGGATCACGAGGTCAGGAGATCGAGACCATCCTGCCTAACACAGTGAAACCCCATCTCTACTAAAAATACAAAAAATTAGCCAGGCATGGTGGCGGCGCCTGTAGTCCCAGCTACTCGGGAAGCTGAGGTGGGAGAATGGCGTGATCCTGGAAGGTGGAGGCTGCAGTGAGCTGAGATCACGCCACTGCACTCCAGCCTGGGCGACAGAGCGAGACTCTGTCTCAAAAACAACAACAACAACAACAAAAAAAAAAACAAACAAAAACAAAAACAAAAAAACTGAAAGGCATCAAACTGTTCCCAATTCAATGGTAAATCATAAGTTTTCCAATGACTGATCAGAAACATCATTTTGGTTGAAACAAGTATCTGGGTATCTTCCAACCCACTGATGGAAATAACTGGTTGGTCATTTTCTAGGTGGAATAAGCATTTCAGCAAACCATGTTAGAAAATCTGCAACAAAGTAACCCCTTTAAGTAACCCCTGGCTCACAAAAAACAATGTTTTAACAAAGTATCGGGCAGGCAGCGTTCAGAGAACCCAGCTGAGCAAATGGGAGTCCTGAGGTCCATCTCTGGATTCCTCTGTTCTACCTTCGTTTGGAGCTGACTTGGCACTAGCATTGTCCTTTTCTCATGAAGCCCAAAACCAAAACTTCTAAAGTGGGATGGAGTAAAACCAGTGAAACCCAATGCCAGCAAAACAACTGACTTAACAGGAGTTAAGTCTTAATTTTATACATTATAACATTAAGTGATACAGAGCAATACTCAGATATTAGTCTGTCCTCACCCTTAATTTACATCCAAAAAAGAAAAGTTGAAATTGTGTTGAAAACACAATTTAGTCAAGTTCTTTATAAATGAAACCTCACTCTATCCCTTCCTGGACTTAGGTTTATATGAATAAAGCAAGTTCTGGCCGGGCGCGGTAGCTCACACCTGTAATCCCAGCACTTTGGGGGTCTAAGGCAGGTGGATCATCTGAGGTCAGGAGTTCAAGACCAGCCTGACCAACATGGAGAAACCCCATCTCTACTAAAAATACAAAATTACTCTGGTATGGTGGCGCATGCCTGTAATCCCGGCTACTCAGGAGGCTGAGGCAGGAGAAATGCTTGAACCCGGGAGGCAGAGGTTGCGGTGAGCCGAGAGCATGCCACAGCACTCCAGCCTGGGCAACGAGAGTGCAACTCTGTTAAAAAAAAAAAAAAAAAAAAAAGAATAAAACGAGTTCCCTAATTTATTTACAAATTTATCTTAGTTTGGATTTACTTAAAGGAAAAGAAGGAAATAATTTTTCTCAAGATCTACAAAAGATAATATTTCTATCCAAGATAGATCTTGATTAATCTGTCCCCAATTTTAGTAAGACTGGAATAAACAAGAAAAGAACAAAGGCTGGAATTTAAAAAAAAAAGAAAGAAAGAAACATGCTGAGCCTTTGGGCGACTGCTGATCCTACACCTCTGCGGTTGTTCACTGTTATCAGTCTATTGGCTGGGTCTGAACCCCGAGGGCCTCTGCTCCTGACTCTCCCGGCCGCATGGGGAAGGTGTTTGGGGCTTGTGGGCAGGTTTTCAGGGCAGGTGTTGGGGTAAGTGCTGGGCACGCAGGCAGGTGTGTGGGCACTGAGCAGGTTGCGGGTAGGTGTGTGGGATATGCAGGCAGGTACGCAGGGCAGGTGCATAGGCAGGTGTAGGGCACGGGCATGTATGCAGGACACAGAGCAGATGTGTGAAGCAGCGGTGCAGGCACAAGACGGGTATACGGGGCATGGGCAAGTGTGCCGGGAATGTGTGAGGGCAGATGTGTGGGGCGCGGGGTTGTGTGGGCACACGGACAGACGTGCAGACAGGTGTGTGCGGATGGGGAGGTGTGCGGGTGCGGACAGTGTACAGGGTGTGGGGCAAGTCTGCAGATCAGATGTGTGGAGCGCAGGACAGGTGTGCAGACCAGGTGTGTCGGGTGCGGAGGCGAGGCAGGTGCGCGGGGCACGAGTGTGGGGTGTGGGGCAGGTGCGCGGGGGCGGGGCAGGTGCGCGGGAGCGAGGCGGGAGCGAGGCGAGAGCGAGGCGGGAGCGAGGCGGGAGCGAGGCGGGAGCGAGGCGGGAGCGAGGCGGGAGCGAGGCGGGAGCGAGGCAGGTGTGCGGGCGCGGGGAAGGAGCGCGGCGCAGGCGGGCGGGGACGAGGCAGGTGAGCCGTCCGTCCACCCCACGACCAGGTGAGGGCGAAGGCGAACGAGGAACTGCCTGAGCTCCTAGCCCCCAAGCTTCAAAATCAGAACGAGGAAGGTCGGTGAGGAGGCAGCGTTCTCGGGACTGGGAGCAGGAAGCGCAGCCCGAGCTGCAGATCTCGGCCGCGCCCCGTGGGCTCCAATCCCGAGCGCCCCCGCACGCGCAGCCGCGCTCGCCCGCAGGGCCGAAGGGCTGCTCAGGGTGGAGGCTCCGGAGGCGAGCCCGAGAGGGGGTGCGGGGCTGCGGAGCCCGGAACGGGAGAGGGCTGGAGGGCGGGGTGAGGGGACGCGAGGACCCAGGCTGAGCGGCGGGGCGCCCTCCCCGCTGGCACCTACCACGTGGGCCTGCATGGCCTGGAGCTCCTCGGACGCCCCGCCCACGCCGCCGCGCTCGTCCCGCCGCTTCGGCCTACGGCGCCTGCGCGGGCGGCACCAGGAGGTGGGTCTGAGACCAGGCAGCTTCCGATTGGTGCAGAGCGGCGTCCATCGGCGTGGGCCTGCCCGCCGGGGCGTGGAAGGGGCGGGGCTGCGTGGGGCGGGGCCGGGAGGTCACGATCTCCGCCTTCCGCCCTGGGCCACGCCCCGGCCCGGGTCACCTCTGGCGCGGCCTCCTCGGCCCCTGGAAGCCTCCTGCCGGCCCCTGGGGCGTGCGTCCCGATCTCTGGTCCCCCAGTAGACGCCGCCGCGGGGAAGGCGGGGCTGTGCGAGGGCGCCGCGCTGCAAACCCCAGCCAGGCGGCCTGGAGGTTGCTGTAAAGCCTCAAACGAGGCTGATGTGTAAAAGAGTCTTTGCATTTCACCCGGGCTGTGCCACCTGACCGGGAAGGACGAGGGGAGTGGGGAGAGCAGGGCGTGCAGGACACGCGACGGCCCCGGGATGGGGGTGAGGGGTGAGGCCCTGACCCCACTGTGAGGTCCTCCAGGAGGAGGGGTGCCCAGGAGTGAGGCCCTGACCCCACTATGAGATCCTCCAGGAGGAGGGGTGCCCGGGGTGAGTTCCTGACCCCACTGGGAGATCCCCCAGGAGAAGTGCCCAGGGCTGAGGCCTTGACCCCACTGAGATGTCCCCCCAGGAGGAGGGGTGCCCGGGGTTAACTCCCCTAGGAGGAGGGGTACCCAGGAGTGAGGCTCTGACCCCACCATGAGGTCCCCCAGGAGAAGGGGTGCCCAGGAGTGAGGCCCTGACCCCACCAGGAGGCCCCCCAGGAGGAGGGGTGCCCAGGAGTGAGGCCCTGACCCCACCGGGAGGTCCCGCAGGAGGAAGGGGTGCCCGAGGAAAGACATGACGCCAGTGGCTCCCGGTACCCTCCACCTTTGCCCTCATTTCCGCCTCCCCATGCAGCCTTGGGAACTGCAGGGCTGGGAACCCGGAGAAGGCGGCTGGAATCTGGAGGAGCCTGGAGGTGGCCTTCCCTGCCGGGAACACAGGCCAGGCCCCATCTGTATCTAACCTTGTACTGGAGGAGCGCAGAGCGGATATCTCCAGATCTGAGTCCTGAACGCGCGGCCGGGAACCCCAGCAGTCCTGAACTTGTCAGGGGAGCGGCCTGCCGTGAGAGGTCTCCCAGGCGGCTGTAAGGCCTCTGGAACCTCCCTGCTCGGAGGAGGTTGACTGGGGACAGGGCCGTGGAGGTCAGTAAAAGGGACTGCTGCCATTAGCCCTGTGCTGTCTGCACACAGAGATTAAGCCCACTTGTGATTTGTTCCAGCTGATCTGAAGTAATGAGTAATTCACAATTAATGAGCACGGCTGTACACAGCCCTTCCTGGACAAATCCTCGACTGTGTAAAACTAAGATTGAATGCAAACCATTCTGTCAATTAACCGTTACAACAAAGCCAAACTTCTGTTAAACATCACTTCGTAGATGATTTTTTTTCCTTAAATTGCCTCCTTGTCTGCAAAGCCTGTTTTGCAAGTGGAATGCTTAAGTCACATGAGTGGAAATGCAGCCTTATTTACAGTTTAGCAAAAGCAACCTGAGAATTTGCTTCCAAGGACCTCATGTTCTCCAGAGGTCGGAGTACGAGGAATCACTTCATTGGAAAGGACTTGGTAAAGAGTAGCCGTGTAGCTGCCAGAATGCACTGTAGACTCATGATAAGGTGGTGAGGGCCAGGGGTGAGGGGCCACAGGTGGCTTCTGCACCTCCAAGCACATGGTATCCAGAACTGGGCTTGCCTCCCACCTTCCTTCCTGCACATTTCCTGCTGCCAGAAATTTGCTTTTCACTGACTTCCCCCTAATTCAAATTTGATTAGAATCTCCTCTTTGGGAACATTCAAAGTGCCAAGGTGCATCTCAGAAATGCAAGGTTGCAGGGGCGGGGTCCTGAAATCCAAGGGTGGTGGGGCCTGAGATCACTGCCCTGGCAGTAGGAAGATCCTCGGGGAGAGGCCGGCAGAGGGCCTGGACCGAAGGCACTGACACCCTGGAGAGGCACAGGACGGGGGGCCTGGGACCTCAGAGCTGGCTGGGTTGAGGTAGTGTGGTCTTCATTCAGAGGGAAGTGAGGTGGTGAGGAAAGATGAACAGCGTCATGTGGGCAGCAGCGGAGGAAGTGACGCAAGACACCCCACAGCTTTGGGTTCACTGAGTGGGCAGTTATATTTATTTATTTTATTTTATTTTTGTAGAGATGGGGTCTCGCTGTTGCCCAGACTGGTCTCGAGCTCTTGGCCTCCTAGACTGCTGGGATTACCAGTGAGAGCCATTGCAGATGACCAGTTTTCTTTATTTTTAATTGTTTATGCAAAAGTTTTGGTGAATACTGGCTATATGGAGAGGCCTCAGTACCAATTGCCAGGGGCCTGGAGTAGGTGCAGTGGTCTCAATGTGTGTGTCCCCCCAAACCATATGTTGACACGTAACCCCCAAGGTGATGTGGTTGGGAGATGGGGCTTTAAGCAGGTGACTGGGCCGTGAGGGCTCTCCTCTCAAGATGGATGGGTGCCCTTCTGTCCCTTCCTCCATGTGAGGACCCATAGAAGGTGCCATCTCTGGGGAACAGGTTGTCACCAAACGCCAGATCTGCTGACGCCTGGATCCTGGACTTGTTGGCCTCCAGAACTGTGTGCAGCACATTTCTGTTGTTTATTCATCACATGGTCTGAGGTATTTTGTTACAGCAGCACAAATGGACCAAGACCCCAGGTCTCCAAATCGAAGAACTGCACAGCAGCCCCTCAGTGCTGGTGGGAGGCAGAGATTCCCTGCAGGTCTGCACAGATGGTGTTAGACTTGGGGGACACTGGGTCCCCAGTAAGAATGATTCTGCTGTGAGTGCAGCTAGTGAAGGCTGAGTTCAAGCTTGAAAGACAAGAGCCAGACGGGTTCCTGAGACAGCCTGATCCCCAAGACCTTCGTGTGCCCAAGTCTCCAGGGGGATGAACCTCAAAGGACCTGGTTCGACCTCCCTCAGGCAGTGGGTGCCGCCTGGAGGTCGGGGTCACTTGAGACCGTACGAGACTCTGCGCGTGGTGACCACATCACCCCATAATAAAGCAGCCCACGAGGGCATCCGGGCTGTTCAGCCGTGTGCACTGAGGTCATCTTTTCTACTCTGTGTCAGGTATTTAAAGGCTGACCGTGACTCACCATGTGGATTTAGTGGCTCATTGAGGAGTTGCAGCCCATGCTTTTTAAAAAGGTAATCTACAAAAAATAAATGAAAAGGTCTCCAGGACAGTAGACCAAGTGCGGATGTGGTCCCTCGAGTTCCGTTTTTCAGCCGCCCGCATTCCTAGGATTCAGACCCGTTGGGGATTCAAATTGCACAGGAAAACCCTATATCGGTTCAGGGGGATGGTGGTGAATTGGGGGTGGGTGTACCGGACCGGAGCTCCGGGGGCTACGGAAGGAAAGTCAAGCCTGTGAATTGCAGAGCCTGGACAGAGAAGTCGAGGTGATGGCGTTCTGCAGATCCCTGAAATTCTGTGACATGAAGGGACAGCCCCATGTGGCCCCTTGGAAGGACCAAGGCCCTGCCCAGCGCCTTGTACAAGGCGGCAATCGGTGTTGGCTCCACCAACCCGCACCCTCAGGCCTTCTGGAAAGAGAAGGAGATCCGACTGACTGAGCCTCTCCAAACTTCCAAGCACTGCAGATACCTCGTTCAAGCCCAGTGCTGCATGACTGACCCGAAGCCAGAGTCTGCATTCCTTCCCCGGCCTGCAGGAAGGGATGAGGCTCCTGTCACAAGAAGTGTTCCGTCATCAGCCAGGCAGACGCTGGCTGTGGATTCTAGGGGAGCATCGAGTACCAGGGACAATGTTTGCTTGGGTTCCCCCGTCCCGCCCGAGCCCAGAACGCGGAGCCGGAGTCAGGGGCTTGTACATGGAGCGTTTCATGCCCAGGAGGCTGGGGCAGGGGCCGGGAAGGAGCGAGCGGGCCAGGACCAGCGCACTGTGCTGAGGGTCGCGTTGAGGGCTGGACCCTGGACCTCCACAAGCCTGGAGAATGTTCCCTCTGGGCAGCGAGGGGCCTCTGCTTGTTGTCAGCTGGAGCTGCTCCTTGGGGCATTTACTCCCCTGGCCCTGGGGTGGTGACTACAGGATCCCACAGGTGTCCCGAGGCCTGAGGCTCTTCTCACAGCGGAGGCCGCTCTGCAGGAACTGGAGTTAGGACCCGGAGGGTGGGACGCACTGACTCAGAGGAGCTGGCTGTCGGGCCGGCAGGAGGAGGAGATGTGCAATGAGACGGAGCCTCACCTCCAGGGACGGCCCCGCGAGCCGGAGCTGCCCTGCTGCACACTCAGCACTCGAGGCGGGCTCGGAGGTGATCTAAGCCCACAGCTGTCCAAGTCTGGAGAGAATCCGCGGTGGGTGGCAGGTGCCTGCGGACGCTGAATGTGCAGCCCCAGTCACGCTCAATGCGGGGGCGCCTGTGTTAGCCGCTGACATGGACAGGAAAGGCCTGTGCTGAACAATGTTCCGTGCTCAATTAGACACTTTCCTAAACAGGAGTGGAAGGTGTCTCGTGGGGGCTCCAAGCGAGATTTATGGAACTCACTCTCATGAGATATGCAACGTTTTTCACACGTGGGAGAAAGGTCTGGGATCGACTGGTGCCTGAGAGAATGCTGAGGATAAATGGGAAGCAGGACATTCCAGGGCACCTTTGCGTCTTGCATGAGACCTTGTGAGGGCCCCGTAGTGCCCCTGACGTCACTGTCAAAGCTGGAGCTGCCCCCGCATCCGCCTCGGCCTCCCTCGGGCGTCCTCCCCAGATGGCCCTGTCAGCTCACATGGAAGACAGCTGCTGAGAAGCAGGTGGCTGAGAAGCAGGTGTGATGCCAGGCCGTGGGAGAAGCCGCATCTGGACAGTGCGTGAAGCCAGTCCAGGGGCCACACTGGGACCTGCTCTCAGCTCTGCCACGTCCTGGGCAGGTGGCCCTGGCATGCCAGCCGCGGTGTCCGCAGAGGCATCCATTCCTCATGGCAAAGTGGAGGCAAAAGTCAAGTTGGCCGATGCGGGCGAGACGCCTGGCCGACCCGGGGAGCCGCACCACCGCTCCCCACATTGTGCTGCTGACTGAGGGGTGTTCAGTGCACGGCTTCACACAGTCAGTGCACAGACATGACCGCCGGCCTGAGAAGCCACCGCGTGCACCTGGCCCACCAAGTCGGCAGGGAGGCAGGCGCGGTGTTGGCGCGGATCACCGAAGGAGCTGGCTGCCCAGCCGTCCCCGTGACTGGATGGAGTCCAAACGTTCCTGTGCATCCTCTCTGGGATGGGCTCGGTGCCAGGGCCCAGGGTAGTTTTCAAATTGCAGGTCGTGGCTGTTATACCGGGGTCATGGGGTCAGTACACTGGGCTCTAACTGGCAATTCCTAAAAATAAAATCTGAGTCTGTCTCGTATAGTTAGAGCTGCGTTGATTTGTAAAGCTTGTGTTGGTTTTGCACGTTCTATGCCAGAGTGCGCTGGACCCAGATAGAAAGCGCATTTCTCGCTGTGGTGCCTGCCACAGTCTGGAGGGAAAGACCAGTCCGTGGTTCTCATGTGGGGTGGCGGGTGCTGTCTACACAGGGAGTCCTAAGAGCCCACGTGGGACATGAGAGGGGCCGGAGAGGCTGGGGCAGGGGAGCCCGGGCCAGGCCCTGAGAACAAATATGGGTTATTCAGCTACTAAAGGTGCAGGGCTCAGCCCAAAGTCCCTGGTGACCCAAAGAGGACGGTGTGAGTCTGACGTGGAAGGCGGGGCTCACAGCAGGCTGCTGGGGCACCATTGCTGGGGGAAGGCCCTGTCCCCAGCGCACACGTAGACGGCCCTTCAGAACCTGCGCAGCAGACAGTGTGGCCAATGCAGCTGCACCCCGGCCTGGTCCCCTGTGCCGTGCCCAGCAAGGAAGATGCCGCTGCCCAGCCCATCCATGCACCCTCCGGAGGCTGTCAGCTGCCCAAGACCCACACTGGCTCTTGCGGGCTAGAGGAGAGTTCAGTGGCCGTTTGACGGGTCCTGTCCCCGTGGAAACACCGACTTTGGGTACCAAAAGCCTGAATGTACAAATTCACAGAGCATGACCTGCCTGGTGCCAGTGGGTCTTTGCATTTTTCTGGTGCCCTCTGAACTCTTAGGCCCCTGTTCTGGCGGACTTGGCCCGGGCACCCCCAGGTAGGAGGCACAACCCTGATCCCAATGCCCGAAACCTGCTCCACACACCTGAGGTACCTCCTGGGCATCCCACACCAGGACAGGCCTGGAGGCTTCCAGCCACCGCCACCCGGCACACCCAGCACCTGCAGATCCACCACCTTAAAACCCACCTCTACTGCCCCGTGCCACGGTCCCTGCGGGGCCAGGCCTGCCTGGCACATCCACCTCTGGGTCTCCCTGCCTCACCGTCTTGCGTATCCACAGTGAACAGGGCCATCTTTCCAAAATGCAGGTCTGGCCGGGTGCGGAGGCTCACACCTATAATCCCAGCACTTTGGGAAGCCGAGGCAGGTGGATCACATGAAGTTAGGAGTTCGAGACCAGCCTGGCCAACATGGTAAAAACCCCGTCTCTACTAAATATATAAAACTTAGCAGGATATGGTGGCACATGCCTGTAATCCCAGCTTCTTGGGAGGCTGAGGCACGATAATTGCTTGAGCCTGGGAGGCAGAAGTTGCAATGAGCCGAGATCTCACCACTGCACTCCAGCCTGGGCAACACAGCAAGACTCTGTCTCAAAAACAAACAAAACGCAGATTGAATCCAGGCTCAGCTGGTGACAGCTGTCCGTGTCCCCACACTTTCAGGACAGCGTGGCTGCCCTTTTGTGGGTGGTTCCAGCCACCCAGTCCCTTTTCTTTCTCAACACCCCCTCATTTAGGTAGGACCCTAAAGTGAATTCCTACTTGTCCTTCAAAGCCAGGCTCCAGCATCACCTCTTCCGGGGATCTTTTGTGACTTGCTGGTCGGTTTCAGAAGCCTCTGGTGGCCCCATGAGGAGAAGACTGTTCTGCTCATCGCTGGCACACGGCAGGTGCTCGTAAGTGTCGTTGAATGACGAAATGTCTCATAATATCCTTCATAAACAAGGGCCTGGTGGGGGTTTGTAAACGGGTCTCTCATAAGTTTAATTGGTGAGACTCTGTTGTATCAGACAATGAAGTGTTAAAAGATGCAATTCAAAAAAGTAAAATATTGACATGCAAATATAAAATGAACACACGCTGATATGGTTTGGATCTGTGCCATCCCCTTGGTGCTGTCCTGTGACGGTTCTCTCGGGATCTGGTTTAAACGTGTGTGGCACCTTCCCCCTCGCTTTTCTTCCTCCTATCGTGTGAGACACTTGCGTCTGCTTTGCCTGAGCCAATTTAACCTCTTTTCTTTATAAATTACCCAGACTCAGGTATTTCTTGATAGCGATGCCAGAATGGACTAATACACGTGTTATGTCAAAGGTTTTCTTTAACTTATTAATTCATGGGGGGAGCAGGAAGATATCAAAACTGGTTCAAAGGAAAATCCACAGGTTTAGGCAATCGGGCTGAAATGAACTTGCTAACACAGTTGTCCCCGGTATCCCCGACTGGAGTTGTCTGTATTTCACCCCGGAAAACAGGTGAGTACAGCACAATTAGATATTTTGAGAGAGAGGGAGATACCACGGTCACATAATTTTTATTACCATGGATTGTTATAATTACTCTGTTTATGATGGGTGATTGTTAATCTCTTACTGTGCCTATTTTACAAATTAAACTTTATCAAAGGGATGTGCATATAGGACAAAACAGTCTCTACAGGGTTCAATACTATCCAAGGTTTCAGGCATCCGCTGGGGTGCCTGGAACGTGTCCCCCAAGTCATCACCAAACCAGCCAACATCCACAGGGCCTGAAACCTCCCCTTCGGATCCTCTCTTCCACTGGTGGAAATTCGCAGCGTCTCCACTAACGAGTTTCTTTGCACCTCTGTGGGCTCCTGTGTGTGGCCATCGCCTTTCGGGTGTTCAGGGAGCTTGTCTCACGGCTCTGTTAAAGATGAGGAAGGTGCTGACCACTGCAGCACCAGAGAACCCGGGGATCGCCTGGCCCTCCACCGAAAGGATGCCCAGAAGCCTCCTCACCCGTGTTAATATCTTCTCCACATTTTCCTGAGGAAGCCTCAGACACTCACAGCATCATTGGGCACAACTGGGTCTGGCGGCAGAAGGCCCGGGGGTGCATGGCCCGCTCCTGAGGCAGGTGTGCGGGGCTGGGGAAAGGCAGAGCATAAGGGTGGGCTCTGGCCGTGGGACCCACCCAGCGGTCTCCCCTCTGGGGCGGGGAGGTGCAGCGAGAGCATGGGGAAGGCAGGGAGCGGAGCCTAACGGTCACCCTGGGAGGAACCATCAGCCCACAGCCGTACACCAGGCTTCCTGTTGGCCCTGGGCAGTGCCGCTGCCCCCTCCACAGGCCACCAGGGCCATAAAGGCAGGTGGGACCCGCACCCGCTGACGGGGAACTGTGCCAGCAGCCGCCCGGAAACCCGTGGCCTGTACGGTATTCTGTGCCGGGGAGAGTCAGCACCCGGCCCCCAGCGGCTTCCCCGAACCCACTCTCTGAGGCTGTGTCAAAGGTTGCCCGGTGTCTCCTGGAAGACGCTGCTCCCCGATCCCTTGCTCCTGCCCACCCTGCTGGGCCAGGAATGTAAGCCCCAACGCCTGTTCCCGGGGTCGTTTCTTAGGGGTGTGTGCACGGTGACCGATGCCCGTCTCTGGGATGAAGAGCTGGCACACTGTCTGCCTGCTGGACAGCAACGGCTTCCCAGAGCTGAGGGCCTTCCTGTGGGCAGCCCCCTGCATGGGCAGCATCTGTCTGAGCCCCCGCACCTCGCCGCTGGGGAAGGGGCTTGGGAGCCCACTCAAGCGTGCTGACCCTCTGGTTCTGCTTCTGCCACGAGTGATAAGATCCTCTGTCTCTGGCCCCAGCCGTCTGGTGCCTCCTGCCAGCACCCCAGAAACAGGCAGGCCTGTTAGCCTGGAAGTAAAATCTCAGGCCCCTGCACGGTTCAGACGGCGTCCAGCACAGTCGGGGCTGGGCCCTGTCCTCACAACCGCGGGGCCTGGGGTACCCTGACCAACTCCTGACTCCCAGGACTTGGCTCTGGGGCCATCCAGCCCGAATTGTCCTAAGCTACGAGAGGCAACCTGGCGGCCCAGCTTGTGAAGCTCGAGCTCATGCACGGACACACTGTCCCCTTCGTGCCGTAGGGCTGTCCCTGGCACCTGCCTGTCCCTTTGCAGGAGGTCCTTCTGCTAAGTGGCCTCCAGCTCCGTCTCTCTGAACTGACCGCCTGTTGGGGCAGGGACAGAGTCTTCCTGTCCACTGCCAACTCCCCGTGGCTGGCAGAGTCCAGTGAGCACGTGAGCCGGTTACGGCCATGGCGCCAGGATGAGGTGGCTGGGAACGTCCCAAGCAGCAGCTTGAGGAGGGAGACGGTTCCCTAGGATGGGGTGTGGGAGGGTCTCCGACCAAGCTCCTTGAGAAGCAAGGCCTTAGCCTGTCCACCCCTGCAAGGAGGGACGGCAGGCATGGACTCCAGGACAGGCTCCGTGTCCGGGCAGTTCCAGCCCTGTTGTCACATGGCCCATGGCCACACAGCACAGAGACCCACACAGAAAGGTCTCCCTCCCTGCTCTCCCCCTCACCCTGGCCCCTAAAGTCCTGCTGTTTATTTGGTTGGTTCTGGAAGGAGCTCCGTGGCTGCGTGGCTTTGCTGTGCACCATGGGGGTGGCGGCCAGCAGAGCCTGGTGCCCAGGAACCGCTGACGGGCTGAAGGAGGAGCGCCTGAGAGAATGCCAGCGCATCGGCCCTTGCAGCAAACGCTTACGACTGACCTCACACCCACATCTGGTTAGATACGGATTCTGTTATTGAAATAACTCAAACTTTCCAAAATGCTTAAGTGAATCTCACAGGTGGGTGTGGAATTGCCAAACGCCAGGTGTGCACTGCTGGTTTGGATTATCTGGCCATTTTGATCTGTGAAGTCAGGTAATAATTCAGGCCCTCCCAGAGTTTCCATCGTCCTGTTCTACGGTCAAGCCGGGGCTGCAAACCAAGTGCGGCCGCTTCCCCACGTGCCCGGCTCCCTCTGGCTCCACACGCCTGTGCGGGCTGCAGAGTGACCCAAATGTCAGGTAATTCCACATAAGCCCACGTTTGGATTTCGGGTTTCTCTTGGAACTGACCAGGTACCGGGCTCACACTGTTCTGCTGGTACCTGGCGGGGGCTGAGCGGGAGCCGTTCTCTCGCTCCTTCCCGAGGCACGTCGTCCCCCTGGACAAATGGGTGGAATTCTATTAAGGCTGTGAACTTAAGAGATCTCCGGAGCTGAGAGAGGTGCTGGCCGTGCCTCTGGTGCCTCTGAGAGGCTCCTGGCCG